GCCAGATATATTTTATTCATGGAGTTTTCTTTCGAGAAGACTTTTTGGCTAAAAGATTAATCATTTTTGGAGTCCATTGGAAAAAATGAAATGTATATGTAATTGTTCTGGTTTTGTTGGCGGGGGGGGGGGTGTTATTCTTTCATTATAGGACATAGGGCTGGATATAGGAGAGAGAGAAAATGGGCGATGACATTAGGGAAAGGAGCCACAGGTTGGCCCAAACCAACTGCTAGGCCATCGGCGCCCCACCAATATATTTATAATAAAACTATTGAATTGTCATTATGTCTTTTTCTTCTGCTTTTTTTTTTGGGGGGGGGGGGGTAAACCTTTAACAAAACCTTTAACAAAACACACGAGCCATGTGAGCGTCTAAGATACAAAAAGTAAATGTGCCACAACCTTCTGTTAATTTCAGAAAGGATTCTAAAAAATATATTCTCATCATTGACTGAAGCAGGAAGGCAAACTTTGTTACAGTCAGTATGCCGTAGGTCACAGAATGCTAAATGAAAGACAATTGAAGTCTTCTCCCTAATTGAGTAATTAGAGCCAGGAGATGACTACCAATCTACCAAACATATTTCTTTCCCCACCCCCAGTTCACTCCAGCTTCTCTAAGCCCCCCTCCACTAACTTCTACCCTCCTCCCAGTTTCCTCCTCAGTCATTTACTGCTTATTAGAGAGTCTCTCTGTCAACCTTGTCCCATCTAATTCTCACCCAATTACAATCTAAATGAACCACAGGACTGCTTAACTTGCTTTGCCTCTTCCCATTGCCTCCTCCTATTGTTTAATTTGTGACGGCAACAAACTCTGATTAGGCCTTTGCAAAGGTTCATAAATTAAGCACTCATGGCTGAATTAATCACCACTCGCTTGGTAGATAAATGGACATTATTCATTTTTTTCCATATGGATCCAACCAACAAAGCTCTGTAAAGAAACTGCTTACTTTCCAGACCATAGCATTTTAACTAGCCAGTAAAATGTCAATTTTGTTTGTGTCTGAGCAAGCTAAAAACCTTCATATGCAATGCTTGCACTTAAGAAATATTCACCATAAGCATCTGCCTTCCAGAGGTAAAACTGGGCCAATTTGATGAATGTCACCGTCTCAAAATGAGGAGCATAGACACCCTAGTATAATGTTTGCCAAAAGGGGATAGCGGGTGAGTGAAAATAAGGCTGGAAAATTTGTAAGGGGAGTCAAATGAGGTAGAGCAGAAGATAGAGCCATAACAAAGGATTTACAAAATAGAGAGTAAGGAGGGAAAGGTAAAATAAAATAATGAAAAATCAAAAGTGGGATAAGCAATCAGAAACTGGCAGTGAAAAAAGAAACAATCCTAAGGAGCTACACTGATCATCATCCAAGAGAGAGCTGAGCATAACAAGAAAATGAAATGCAATTGCCTGATTTGACGGTGGATCTAGTTTAGTATACAAACAGGCTGCGGATAATTAGTCTCAAGAGTAAATCAGCGTACGCTAAGTGGGAAGAAAAGCTCACGGTATGATACCGGCTGTCCTTAAATGACAAGCAGAAATATTTCATTATTGGCTAGAGATCTTCAACATATCCTCACTTTTTCACAATGTTAATTTTATCCCTTGTTAATATGGTCATATTGACATATTTCTTTCAAAATACCAGATACATAAATCAGGTCAACAATTTACTATGCTCCTAGTGAAATGTAATCTAAAAATCATTTCACTAAATAGCGGTGGCTGTGATGGTTTACTGATGAATGGGGAAAAACTGTTGCGCAATCAGTCATGTCGTTTAGCTAGATTTAAAGCCATTCAGAAATGGAACATAAAGCGCCAACCACTGTCAACACCTTGTTAATACAGTTTAGTCAAACCTGCTCAGATTATGTGGGTGAGACCTCGGAGTGAGGCTTATGAATATCAGGTGTTAGAAATATTCCCCTGCATTTTACTGATTCCCTATTTCAGAGTCTTTCACTAAGCAATACTCCTCGGCACTTATGTTTCTGTTCACTCATATACAGAAAGAGAAAAACATTATGGATAGGAAGCAGACGAATATTCTATCACAAAAGGCCATCGACAATATCTTATTTGTCACATGCAATCACATAAAATGTAAAAACAGTTAAATATAATAAATAGGATGAGACCACTGATTGGCGAAACACATACTACTCATACATAGACATCAACACATGCTATGTACTTTCCTGTCCATGCTCTTAATAGTAAAGAGTCATACGACACAGCACTACAGACAGAAAACATTACAGCCTAAAATATCTCCTAATACAAAAAATATCCAAAGAGTTATATTGTTTTGTTTCAGTACCAATTTGAATTATTCTAGATGGCTTCATATATAATATTTATACTGATTTCAGAGAATGAAGAGACTGCCCTCTTACCTCATGGCCAATGTCATATTGGCCTATGAGCTCTGACATGGCCATGATGGATACCAATATTAAATAAGTGGGGGAAAAAAAACATGACAAAAGCTACAATATATCTTTTTTATTATAGCCTTTAATACTAGAGCTCGGTAAATTATTATTCAGTGTTTCTGAATGCATTCTAACTGTTCTCAGAGTCCCAGTAGGGACTATTTGGTTCAATGCTGACGCTTCCAAAACACACTGCTGATGTTAAAGAAGTGGCTGTCAGTCCTTGTATATATTGTAATGAGTCATTATGAGAACTAAATCACATTGTGTGAAATTGTAACATGTTCTAAAAGAGGAAAAAAGAAGTTGAAAGTTGCAGATTTGAATACCTATTGTTTTCTAGACAATGACAGAAAATAAGACACGTTCCTCGCTCAACAGTTCAATGGTTTAGGATGAATGATTTTACAGAGTCAGATAGGCCTACTATAGATAAACCTTCAAATTCTCAACACAAGAATAAACACATAGCAAAAGGGAAATTTTGATGACCCCAAGTTGACCATGTAGCACTGCATCTGTGCACAAGATGAACTTATTTTGTCACTTGGACCTTGAGCTCGGGAAGACAGATATTAAAATTACAAGGGCAAAGTATATGTGAAATCAAAGCCATGACCTTCAATCCATTGTTTCCCTCTGGTGTTCCCATAAACTTCCTGTGACTGCATGCTAAATATGCTTCTGCCAACATGTGTTTATTTGCTACTGTTCAACAACAGTGCCTCCACATTCAGCAAGCTTCTGTAAAATGCTTACAGCTTATAGAGATGTGTTTTTGCATTTTGCTTCTGGGACAGAGCTACCCCTCTCTCTACTGTTTGTTTTCATCAGCTTGCCCCTTCAATGTCGTTTGTCTTTTTTTTTCTTACATGCACATAAGTCTGAGTAAACATCTGTGAGCAGAGCTAGAGTATGATGGAAATGCCTGTACCAGAAACACCTCCCAGCGTTTCTTTCATCAGCACGTGTGATTCTGCAGCAGAATTGTAAGAAGAAGGTGAGGGAAGCTCACATAGCTGGAAAAGCAATTATCACCTAGAAAGCTACCTGTCTGCACAAAATACAGTGTAAGAAATCAACTCGCAAACATCCTAAAGGTAAAAAAAAGAAAGAAAAGAGAACACATGCCGCACTGGATGCTGAATAATAAACATTAGCAAGAGAAATCCTCTAGGTCATGTTTAGGTCGAATAGAAGCAGGCACAGAGAACTTTGTGCTGCAAGCTGAGAAAACAGCTCTTTCCTGAGGAGATGACAACAACACATCATAATAGGGCCTAATGCTTACAGAGCCAGTCACTTGTCAAATAGGACGCAGTCAGCCATAGAAATAATGCTGTTACAGTAACTTACACACATCTACTCAATCTAACTGTCAATGCACTACAATGCAGCAAAACACACAGTGGACCAAGCTTAGAAAACAGGAAACCTATGAATACAAAGGCCATACACATAATGGTTATGTCCAAAGTAGCGACATGATCATACATTTCACAGCATAGCCCATATTTAAACTGAGACAATTTCACCAGGGTTAGGGTTAGGGATAAAACCGAAGTATTGTGAACAAACGTGGCTAGTTACCAGAAATGTCATGTAGCCTCACAGTGAGGCAAGAAAAACAAAAACATGTAGCTGTTTCAACCAAAGACAGGATCTGTATTCAGACATCGGTTGTCCTTGAAAACAATAACAACATTGTTTCAGGATTTCTGTGACAATGTTGATTATTAAAAAAAAAAAAACTATAGGTAGACATGGCCAAATTTCAAAATTACTAGCATCCAACTTTATATTCATTGAACTTAGTATAGTACTGTATCATCAGTATTTCCATCCTATTGTGATTGATCTTCTATACAGGAGATCAACTGCCAAAGCAATCACTGCAGTGTAAAACCATCTATGAGGCCTGCATCGAACAAACATTACTTTATCATCTCAGACAGGAAGCTGAGGATGTTTGACAGCTGAGTAATTATTCACCGGACTAATTTTTCAGATCAAAGAGGGCTTGTCACTAGCAATGAGTGATTTCAGATTCAAACTATTTTTCGTTGTATTTTTTGAGGAGATGGAAGAGATGGCAGTACATTATGGAGTTGATTCTGAAAACAGAACAGAGCTATTTCCTCAGATGAATAGTAAATTAAGCACACTGATGACTCTGAGTACCAACGCTGGATAGTTGATTATATATTAGCATCCACTAACAACTGAAATCCTTTCAAAATGACATCTACAATGCTTTTAAACACTGCCCTGAGGATGGCTGAGCAATAAACCCGATTCAGGGATTAGTTAGATTGTTCAGACTGTCACACTTATTTCATCATCAGACGTCTCTTCCATTACTGGCCGCACTGTCCCTTTTATGGAAACCATTTCAATTTGAATCATTTCCCAGCAGCATCTCCCAGCAATAAGAAAACAAAAGTGCACGCCATAATAACAGAAGAAAAAAAAAACATTTTTGTCATTGGAGCACAACATGGCATATTTTGAAAAATGCTGTTTGGTTTGAACACAGTGAGTGTACTCACATTGATCGATGTTGCCGTCCGCTTTCCCCTTCTCCTGCGAACACAGAGCACACACAAAAGTGGTTATTACAGGCTTGGAAGCGTGAGACAAAAACAGCACTTTCTCCAGCTTTTTTGCGCACCATCCGTTACTGTGTCTTTTAGCCTTTTCTGGGTTCTGAAAAAGACGATGAGAAAGAAAGCAAAAGTGAAGTAACAGAGAGACAATGAAGAGTGAGAAAGGAAGGAATGACAGCACAGTAACAAAAAGTCCTTTAAAAAGTCACCTCCTAGAATCAATTCAGTCACCTTAATTGAAAACCGGCTGCAAGGTGGCAGGTGACATACTGTTTACGCTGAAATATTTGTCGGGATGTCAAACAACTGATACAGGATGAACACAGATTTAATTGTCAGTCCAAACTGAGAATGAGGGTGAGATGTGGCTTCACATTTATCTTAATACATTTCAGTTTCCGTCGTGGCTTGATTAAGGCTTCAGTAGTGTTTGGAAAGCTGCATAACTTCAGAGGAAAGGTCACAGCAGGGAGCATGGTTGCCTGGTCTGCGGTTTTCCTGCAAAAATTGGGCTACTTTTGAAGTGTGGCTGTGGGTTGAATATTTTGTCTGCGGCTGAGGTAGTCCTGTTTTGCATGCAAATTACATGAATATTATGTATTTATAAAACTTCATATTTGATTATTTAACTTCAGCTCTTTCAGCTCTTGCATACATGAGCGTGGGAGATGCACACAAACTCATCTCAAATTCACCACCCCCCACTGTCTCCATCATTGACAATATATACAGTAAATGTCAGAATGTTTACATAGTCCATGATCTGGATTCTAACTCTCCTTGTTATCAAAGCTCATCTGGTAAATGGACTTGAGCTTGTATAGCGCTTTTCTAGACTTCTGAGTACTCAAAGCACTTTTACAGTGCAGGCCACACCCAATCATTCACACACTGACGGCAGAGGTTGCTATGTGGTGGCTGCAGGAGCAGGGGTTTTCAATCCCGACCTTCAGGTTGAGCAACAACCGGCTCTACCGCTAAGCCACAGCCACAGCCCCCCCCCCCCCCCAAATATCTATAACCAAGGCTAATGTTGTGAAGCTGAATTTCAGCAGCATCATTTCTCCTACTTTGTAAAAAGTAGAGTGGATATCTTGGATTGTGAGCACTACAAGTGAGGGAAACTAACCTTGACAGAGCTAGATAGCCTTTGCAATATTTCTTATTCAAGGGAAGGTTGAAAGTTGAAGTCGCTGTGACAATAATTGCAAACAAGAATGAGATTAGCTTTTCAGTTCTTACTCATACATGCATTAGCATGATTTGTACAATCTGTTATTTCATTTGTATCTGCCATAAAAAACAACAGATTAACATTGCACATTGTTATCTGGCCTTAAATTCCGTATCTGTGCACGGAAAAGGCGAGTAGCCTTGCAAAATGAAACAAAGTGTTGAGGATTTTGGAAACTATAGGAGAGTTGTCCTGTAGAAGTGAAAAGGGGAAGGCACGTCTGGATACGAAGATAACAAAAGACATCATTATATGGCAGATTGAGGTCAAAATAGGACTTTAAAACTTGAGAAAGGGTTCTCTTCGTTTCTGGCATTATGAATTAATAATAATATGAACAGAAAGTGAAAAACTTGTATGTTTGCATCCAGCATTAAGAACAACTGAAACTCAAAGGACATAGAGTGTTGTCTTTGCTGTGATCTTTAGTAGGAGTACAGCTGACCAGTGTATGAATGAGTGAATTGGTGTGCACAGACTGTTGGAATTTGAGTGTGCATGCTGTGCTTGTTAGCCACTGATCAAGTGTGCTTGTTACAGCACTAGAGCATGTGGCTCTGCATAAATGTATCTGAACTTGAGATGCAATTTAATGTACAGATGCGAAAACAAAGGATCGACACAGTGTTTTAAAATAGAACATGAGAGAGCCTTCAGAAGAAGCCAATATGTGGCAACATTTCAAGTGTTTTGACATTCTGCATTCTTGTCCCTCAGTGTGGTATGTCTCCAGTAATGAGGCTCAGTGATAAAACATGTGTGCGTCTGCAAGGCCCTCTTGGCTTCCCAGGAGAATGAGAGCTTCACGAGAAACCAGCAGTTTTAGTGCCTCCTGTCACTGCCTCTCTTCATCTCTATCCCTTTTTCTTTTCTGCCATCTGTCCATCTTAATTGCAGACGTGCTTTCTCATGATGGCAGGAAAAAATTGAGTGTGCTCATCAGCACCGCCTTCCATCATCTCGAGTGCCACTGTTTGATCAATTGATTAGAGAATCAAACCAAGCATGGAGGTGAAAGAAAGGCTATGTGCTTCTTTCTAAAAATACGGTCCTCTCTTGTCCATGACTCCCCACAGTTCTTTTCATCACTCTTCTCTTTCCCTTTCCATTAAGCTTTAGGGACTTTTAAGGAAAATTTTCAATTTTGTGATAACTGTCACAAGGCAAGACTCCTAACTCTTACATACCGTTTACAGGAGGCAGTTTATATTCTTCTTTTGCAATGCAACCCTTTCAATTGCTGGAGACATGTAAATACGTATCAAGAGAATGTTATCTGAGCAGAGAGGACAAAGTCACTGAGTTTCAATTAGGAGGGATCAGAAGGTTTTGTTATTGTGGTAAAGGCTACTTCAACATAGGAGTGGGTTTTAACTGTCCAGTGCCGTTAGGGTTTGTAAATTGATCATGAAAACAGTTGGGATGCTGAAAGACATACACAAAAGGGACAAAGGAGAATGAATACCTTCTAACCACTCACCCAACCCTTGAACAGTTTGTGCTACTCAAAAACCATCAAATGGCTTTACATTTCAAGAATGATTACATTAAGTCATACTAATAAATACGAGAGTAAAAATCAAAAATATGTTAACTACTGAACAGGAAGTCATTTGCAACCAAAGGGAAATTTCTCCCCAAAAAGTTGGTCAGCTAATGAATTACCATTAGACTGTGCAGCTTTGCTAACTTAGCATTAGCCAACAATTTGCAACCCTCCAGATACACCCTCTCATCCTTATATTATCATTTCTAAATATTTTTTTAAATACATGTCAATTAAGTATTATTACCTGGGGGTTGTGGTGTCACTTGACAAGCATTGATAAACTGAGATTTTTACTCCTACAAAAAGCTTCACATACTAAAGAAGCAGTAATGGTGCCGTGTAGCAAATCAAAATATAATGCTGGTGTGTGGTGCTATTTATATCACTGGCTCTTTCTTTCTTTCAAGTCGCACATTTTATTGGATTTGACGTAGCAATAGAGTTCAACGGCATAATCCTAATACGATTGCTGAAGTGTTTCGATTACTAGTACAAACAAATCATTCTGTGCGTCTCGCCTCCATCTTTGATGCCATTTAAACACCCCAACAAAACAAGAATGTGACATTGATGCCACAGAGTCTGACATATTGTGGCAATGCAATTTAAACAGCAGGGCAATTTAAGCTGTGCCTCTTATGAAGTCAGCTTGAATATGCTGTTTCCTTGCTCTCTCTTATACATGTTTCTATGCAGGCTCTCGTCTTCAAGGACCCATATGTTATTTGGTGCACACTTACTCTCTCATCAACTCTCTCTGAGTCTTCATTCCAGTCAACAACAACACTCTGCAAAATGTAACTGCCTGTAGGCTCACACTGCTGTGGATACGTCTTTAAAGCATCAGCTTACGTTATTGTCTTACATGTGAAGCATACTGACATTTTGTACCTTTTATAAGATAAAGCCGGATTAGGACATAGAGGCAGCCCGATGAGGAACAGGGAGGGGAAGTTGAATCCATTAATGTCTTTCTTTTCACAAGAGTTCATCCATCTACATTCAATAGTTATTCCCCTCTGTCCGTTGCTTAGAGAAAAGGGACCTGTCTTACGTAACAGTAATTCATCAGAGCACAAACAAGCTACTTAATGAACTAAATGAAAAGGAGCCAAATGGGAAAAAAAGGAACTGGCAATGAACCTACTGTAAGTAGTAATACCTTCACAAGCATAACTCTGATGAGTCCAAAAATAGAACTGAAGCCTTGCAAATTGAAGCTTTTATCCCGGCATCATTAGCTGGAGTGGTTTCTTGTTTCCAGTGATGCTCACCGCTGGCACGATCTGTTCTCTAAACATTTCATTTATTCAAAGTTGTCCCTCGCTTCTCGAGACAGAATCATAAACAACAAAAGTTCTACATCAGGAGAAGATCAGAAACAAGAGCACCACTCAATGAAGTGTTTCACCGTCTACAAGTTAACAGAACTCTATCCCTCCATGCCGCCTGACTCCTGCTACTAACTGAAAGTCAACCATTGCACATGTTCTGTCTGTCTGACAGGATTCTTTCAGCTTTGAGTATACGGTTTCCAGAGGCCGCCACATAAGGGGAAACTGAGTCTGAAGGAGTGTAATGAAATAAAATAAAATAAAAGTCTCTGGGTACAAGTCATAATGAAATTGTGAATGTGGCAGGGAGTAGCTTTTGCAACCGAAAATCAAAAACACAACCAAGAACATGCCCCCAAAGAGAGAAGGCCATTTCATTCTCTTTTTCTTTCATCCTTTCTGCAGTTGATATTCACTCAATGCATTACTTCTTTTCTTTGTAGTTGTTTTGAAATCATTCAACTACTTCACTCCTTTATGTTGTCATAGAAACCACTTCCAAACCAAGTTATAACCTCGCTGTCAAATAAATGAAAACTGACCTGTTCATCTGAGCTGAGCATGCTGCCATGATTTATAATCAAGCTGATTACAAAATGTCAACTTCTGGAGTGAACTCTACTGACAAAATGTATCTTTACAGAGCATTTGTTTCATGAAAAAAATATTTGTGAATCACATGTTGTTTATAGAACACATAAGGTTGCAATCCACTTTAAACAGTTAGCCTATACATATTGTAGCTCGTGTTTTAAGATGTAATTATTCACTTTAGTTTCTACAAAAGTTGATCACTTAAAGAGGACATATTATACCCTTTTTCCACCTTTTCAAACAGTCCCCTGTGGTCTATGCAACTTCTGTGCTGTGCTTTGGTCAAAATATAACCAATCAAGCACCAGAGGAGGTTTGTGACCCTGTTTAAACTAGCTCTCTCAGAATGCTCCGTTTTGGTGTGTGTGTCTCTTTAAATGCAATGAGCCACCCCTGTTTTTTCCTGGTAGATACCACTCCTTCACTAGCGGGAATATAAATGGCTGGCTCAAAAGTTTTGCTCTAGGCTGGGGGTGGAGTCAGTAGTCGGAGATACCAGGGGAGGGGAGGGTATTTTTTTTTTACCAGGATCCCAATGTGACATCACAAGTATAGCAAATTGGAAACGGAGTACTTTTCTCTGTGTTGTAAGACTTATGCAGACTACAAACAAAGGACTGGATGGGTTTATTTCACATTTTGTGGGACGGTAGACTCAAATATATGTTCAGAAACACTGCAAAAGTGGGTGTTTCATAATATGTCACCTTTAATTTATATGGATTTAATAAAGGATACGAACTGATTCAGATTTATTGATAAAACTCAATAATAGAATAAGGTTCAGCATATATTTAATCAATATTTGATAAAAAATGCTTTGAAAACGCAGCTCTAACTGCAGCCCCTCAAAGCCTCTACGCTGTCGCTGCCAGCAAAGGGATGCCAACATGCAGCACAGGATAATCCTACTTTTTAATCTGCAGTCCAATATTTCATATTCCGAAAGTTATAGCTGAAATCAACCTGCCCCAGCATCCTGTGCATTGTTTTACATTGATTAGTTTTCATTTTCTTGAAAATGTGTCCCTAAAAAATAAACCAAGAACTCCTGCACACTGTAACTGTACTAAAGCCGCCACCAGCCCAGTTTGGGTTTGTCAACAGACACACAGTTTTCATCTGCATTTTTGTCTTTATTTTTTACTTTATTTCATTCAGTCTATTAGTCCCCAGAGTAACTGTGTTGTTGGTTTTTATGAGGAAATTTCAGTAACAGAAAGAAAAGAATCCAGCATTACTTATTCATTATTAAAGGCTTTGAGAATTCATTCTGTATAATCATGTGGTTGCACTGATTCACAGGTTGTAACCCAGGAGCTCTCTTTAAATGCTGGTGCCAAATGACAGCTTTTTAAGTCCTATTCTGGCCACATGGAAGGAAGGAGAAAGCCTGGGAATTTTTTTTTCTTTTTTTTTTGGTGCCTAGGGATTTCAAAAGGACTGAACCACCAGGGCAAAATTACATCCCAGATCCGGAAGCCAATTTGGCAAAGCCCAAAGTGAGTCACACATTGAACAGACCAGGGGGTGTGCTTGCTTCATTTGACAAAGAATAAGGATGACCGCAGGGATGTGTTGTGTGTGTCCGTCTGTTTGTGCATACGTTTTTTGATAACCTGCTCGGGCTTTATACTTCTGTTATGCAGAGAAGATGTGTTTAAGGTGTTCATTGTTGCTGGCAAGGACCCATTTCTTCACAGGGCTAGTTTTTCTCTCCTCTATTTAGCTTTGATAGATGCTGCCAGGAAAGCATCTTATGAAGAAACTAGCGAAAATAGAAGATTATGCAATAGCTAAAAACTGTTCAACTTGATGGACAAACACAATCTTAAATAAATAAATGAACCACAATCAGAGGATAGATGTGAGGTTACTTTGTCGTTTTGCTGCCTTTAGCATAAAATAATCATAATAATCAATATAATTTTATTTGTATCGCACTTTAAAATCATGGGTTTGAAAATGCTTTGACATGTGTAGAATACATACATGAGAACAAAGCACAAGAACCCACAACAGAAAAAAACAAAACAACAAGGCAACCAACAGATGAAACACCCAACCAACATAAGGAACTACCATAAAGATCAAATCAAACAGTGCACACATTTTAGATGTACATCACAGTTGTCAAAATCAAGGCCTGCACATCTTGCCAGGAGAACATTTATATCAGGTCTGTGAGATATCATCTCAGTGTGTTAAACCTTCAGCTTTAGGGAGAGGATAGTGTGGTAACAGACATGTAAGATGAAGTGAGAGCCAAGCTGTGCCAATGGGAGACTCAGATGCAGCAAGCAAACTTTGGTCAACTTGGGTCAACTACAAACAAGGTTCCCACTGCTCCCCTGGCTTACTCAAGTCCAGATAAGATTTTGTTTGTTTTTTTTGTGAGTCACAGCCTTTTATAATTAATGTTTTCCTTCCATTATTTATGATTACGGTTTTACATAACTGTTGTATTGTTGCTTTACAGGACCTTTGGCTCTGAACGATGATAGAGAGACATTTAGATCTAGCTAATTTAGCCAGGCACATAACAATGAAATACACAGTATTGTTTACAAGCCTTAGATAGAGACAATGAGTAAAGAACTTCACTTCCCTTCCTCTGTAAATACAATACATGGGCACACTGTTAAGTTACACATACTGTAATGCTGATAAGAAACAGCATTGACTACTCTTTAACAGCCATCTACAACTATGTGCACACAATCCCTGATAAATACCACTTTTATAAAGTAACAACCCATACCCACACAGCAACTCTCAAAGGCTAAAGAACTCCTGGGCTCTGTTAGTTTTTAGAGGGTCTTAACACAAATGAAAGTCATTTAAAAAAGGGTAATGCCTGGTTTTAATTTGTTGAAATCGGTTGGCATGGTTAAAATGAAAACTCTTCAGGCTTTGTTTGTTCTCACTCATTAATGTTTAGCCTGACTGGCATTGGCTTTGTTATGATACTTTCATTCATGATAAGGTTCAGTGGCCTTAACCATTACGTTTAAAAAGCAGATGAGTGGGGTGCCGGTAGCCTGTTGGGCTGTATCCCCATATAGAGGCTATACAGTCCTCCAAGTGGAATCAAATTAGACCTGTTGCTCCTTTCCTGCATGTTATTACACACTCTCTCTGTCTCCCTCAATTCTGACTCTATCCAGTGTCCTATCTCTTGAAGGTGACAAATGCTTTAATCATCTTTAATGTTAAAGAGAGCGAGACGTCTCTTTCAACGCCGCCTACAAGACCTGTATAACACTTAAACAGTTCCGTGTAGTCTGTCACCTAAAAAGTGTTTAATTACAACAGACAGAAGCTGTCCCTTTCATGCAAACATCAACATTATTTATTTTTTGACTGTAATGATCTTATTAAAGTACCGTATTACAAGCAATATGAACTAGCCGAAGCAGAGATGAACACATAACTTACAAGTCCGAGTCAAGTCACTTATTGTTTAATAAATAATAAAGTAAAGAAAATACATAAAATATATTTAGTATGAATAGAGGGGTAACTTAAATGGATATAGGCTTCTTTTACTTAAGCTAACTACTATTATAAGCCATGCAATCCGAACTGTGAAGGTTAATTAAACAAGTAAAGGCTAACTTCACTATCGTCTTCATTACGTGTAATTCAAATCAACAGGGAAACAAAGAAAATATATGTTTGGAGACAGTTTAAGGTCAAGGACTATTCAATTCTTTATCCTACATATTCTCTCCTTCAGCTATGGCCAAACAATGTTTTTGACTTTGTGACTTTCACAGAGTAATTGCTAACCTCGCATTCACACAGTCTGCCAATTTCTCTACCTGTCAATTTCCTCTTCTTTTAAGAAGGGAGGAGAAAAAGGGAAGTGATAAGGACTAAAAATTACTGCATCAAACAGTCGGTAGCAACCCTACCCTTCGCCAATTATCATATTTTCCCTGGAACTTCCCCTCAATGATTAAATTAATCTAAAGTCCCCACCAGATAAGAAAAAGACTTCTTCAACTATGTTACTTTGTAAACAAAATCTTGTTAATGGCTGTCAACCATCTAACTCATGTTATTACAACGGATGGACTACTGACTGGACCAAGCATCAACAAAGTTAACACCCATGGGTAATGCCATCATACAATCAGATGGATGCATGTTTACCTGACACCTACGTTTATTTAAATAATGGCTGGTGTCATCAAGTACGTAATCTGCAACTTGAAACACTTGGGAAAGTAACCAATTGCATACAGCTAGGTACTTTCTAATTTACCTTATTTGATGATGATGGCGTGAAATATGAATATTTCAGGGATACGAAACTGGAGATTTAGGCCAGCCACACTGCTCTAGATTTCAACTTTGTTTTGAGGATATTGTTAAACAGTTAAAGACAGGAAAGGCTGCCATGTTGGAAGAAGAAGTTTGTAAATGTGGAACTTTGGAAGGATATTTACCGTGGAGTGTTGTTCCTTAGAGGAGCTTTGTGACATTCTGGCTGTATCCACGTTGCTCCATCTTTTGTGTCCTTCAGCCAGCCAGCACCCTGAGGTTCCCAGCAGAGCGGCCACAACAACAGCCCAAACACCCAGGCAGCCCATGAGTGTACCTGGGTGGAAAAATGTAAAACACAATAAACACAAAGTCTTTAGAGTCACTCTGTTATAAACACTTCCAACAAAATATATTCCACACCCATGTCCGTCTTTATTTGAGGTGAATGAAATCATTCACAGTTGGCAACCTTGAGCACTGAATTAAATTGTAACATTGAAACACTTTAAAGTTAAGATGTAGTTTATTTTCTATAAATATAGTCACTAGCATCTGATCTGATATTGTTCCATATTACAATAGTGTCAATAAGATTATTTCTTCTAACAGGCGTCTTTATTTTAGAGTGAATGCAGAACAAACACCTGAAATGATGTTCATGCATGCACACAGACACGATGGGACAAATTATGTACACTCACCTACACTCATCAGGAACACACTCACAGTAACACACGGCATAATACGGCTATGTAAACATCAAAGCCCACACTGATGGGGATAATTATCTTTATTACAAAGGACACAAAGAATCTTTTGATGTCAACAAAGAGACAAGCCTCTGAAGTCACAAATGGTGGAGTGTGTCATGGGAGCTTTAAAATATAAACTGAGAGGATCAATTTCACTGCTGTGACACATACAAGCTTATTCACTCGGTTACATACACACATACAAAAAGCACAAACAAAGACAATGAAACCCTCCTTAAATAGAAACGGATAAATAAATAAACAAAGCATCACGACTAGTGTTGTGGATGACAGAGAAAAGAAAAAAAAACAACCTCAAGCAGCTACAGCCTCAGGTTTTTTCTTCTTTTTTTTAATTAATTACTGCTTCCTTTGGGAAATTATCTTTTAAAAATGCTAGCAGCCATTTAATAATTAAAGGTTAAGCTGTTTTCAATAAGGTATCATAGTAAACTAGCATAAGATCACATTTTAATTCTGGGCAAATACTTTGATAATAAGTCAAACTTACATTAAAATAAAACCCTATAAAAGACAATTTGGTACTCTCTGATAAAGTCACAATTAATAGATGAATACAGCCTATCAAAAAGGAGTTTTAAATGCAGTACCACACTGTTTATATTGCATAATAGTTTTGTGTCCCACCCTCTTAATTTCCAATATCTTTGTATTGGCTTTTAGCTCTAATGAGAAAAATTCATTGGTTAGCATCAGAGCTCTGATTTCTGGTTAGCCTCATTGGTTGATTCCATTCCTTGTGGTTTTGTTGTGTGACACGACACTTTGTTATATATGTGCTTTGTACTTTAAGGTAATGTGTTTCTTGCTTTTATTAAGGTCTTTTACTTTATCATGTGGCTTTATTGTGTGTTTAACTGCAGAACTAGTAAGAGAACAAATTCCAGTTAGGGGGTCATAAAGTTTGCATCTGAACCAAATCAAGGGCACAAAAACACATGATGTATCTCAAACAGTGCAGCTGTTTGTGGCGTTCAATGTCTGCAGCAGCTCTTTACAAGAATATTGAATATCACCTTGACCTGACAAACCCTGGTCATGCTATCTCAAATTTTTGTGTGTGTTTATTTTCATCACTATTTGTGCTTTTCAAACATGTTATTCTTTGACTTATTCATTTTCGTAACATTAAGATGCATGAGAAGTTTAAAACGTTGCCCTATCACCAGAAGTATATATTGTTTATATGTGTTAGATACAAGTAACAATAACACGATGTAAAAGCCCCCCAATCCTGCGTGCATAAAAAGTCTTAAAACCACATTGATTTTGTTAAGGCTTATTGGAAGTAGTGGGACAGACAGATTCGTTATCATTTGCATAGCAGAAGTTATGGAGCGACATACACAGCCTTCATAGGGACTTGTCTATGAGGCCTTCTATGATAGTTACGAACTAGCTCTGTTCACTGAGTACAGTCAGTGTATCAGATGTTATATCTGTAAGCAAGAAACCAACACCCTGAGCCAAAGTTAACCAAATTCTCCTTAGAGTCGAGATGATCATTCTCAGAGTATTTGTGCAAAAGAGAAGATCCATTTCAATGAACAACTAGTCACATGATCAATTATTAAAATGAAAATATGGATAAGTGCAAGTAAAGGTATAATTACAACAATGTTCAGCAATGTGGACATAGTGTATATAAAGTAACATTGGATGCATGAAGAATGTCACCCTGTTAATGTTGTACTACAGTATTATTGAGTATTTATCTTCTAAATAAATTGATATTATATTAATCAATCCTATCTCATACACTCTTTATATGTGACGAATCTCAATTTAGTCTGCTTACTCTGAGCTACTATTAGTTGTATCTTGCCAAGTGTTTTTTTTTCCAATGGCATTTACAACCAACTCAGGCTGCTCGATGTGGTTGAAAGCTCAAAAAAAGATGTGTAGACTACGACCTCTTTGGACCTTCCAGTTTAAATGATTTGGTCCTTTGTGCCCAGTGGTTTAAACAAAAAATCCGTTCTGCAAGGCAACAAGAGTGCAGACAAACAATATATGACCCTGGAATTTAGTGAATTAAATAGAATGCATTTAAAATGTAACAAAAACTACAATAACAGTGTACCCATTTGTACAAAAGTATACCTAGTTACTTTCTACCCCAGCTAACCATGCAGAGAATCACATACTGTAGGCCCTGTCAATATAAACACCAGTCATCGAGGAACCGCCAGCATCATTCAGTTAGCTAGCCTGAGGCTAATGGGCCCTCACTGATGAGAGCTCACCCTTGTGAAATTAAACACCAAATGAGATCTGCCAGTCACTGTCTTAATGTGCTGCCTATAGCCCCCTGGCATTGGCCCACACACAGCTACACACATTTATACATCAGTGCACACTGACAGACACACACACTGACACAAACAAAGCACTGGTGGTGTGGATTGAATGGTCAATTTTTGAATTCATCAGCACGGAGAGAGTCAATGAGGAAGCTATTATTTGACCAGCATATTAAGAAGCTTAAAGAGACAGACTCTCTTAAAGCACTGCACATTTTTGCAGTTTTGCTCCGAGCATACTTCTTCAATGTAAGATTTGTCTTGTAATAGGCTCAGTGTGCTGAATGTTAAATACCATCTACTCCATATTTTTCATGTGTTTGTTTTCATATCTCTTTCTCCAGAACGACATTTTAGGACAGAGACCTGCAGTGTCTTGTAGAGCCGCCAGGCAGTTGTTTCCTTTTCAAGAAATTGGTAAGAAGACTTTTTTTTAATTATGAACTCAACCAGCTGGATATAAGTTGAAACACTGGCTTTCACCAATTGATTTTATGACATGAGAAAACAGACACATCCAATTTAGAATTTAGATGCATATTTGTACAAATCAAGGACAATTATTTATTGACTTGAAAATGATTACAACCAATAGCTACCAGAATGCACTTGATACTGCACTGTGATAATGTCAGTGTCAAGAAAGTGTGCAATAAGAAATAATAAAACTTTTGACTACAGAACCATAATTTAGATGTCTTTAGTCGTTTGAAATGCTCACAGTATAACAACTGAAGCCTTCCTGTGCTACTATAACTCTGAGGTAGCTAAATACCTTTAATGTGCATTGCAGGGGCACAATAAAGAGCCATCTGCAAGCCATCACATTTTAAAATAAGGCATTCCATGGAAGGCTGCATCACACCCTTAAGACGTACCAGCTTTGTTCAGCCAGGAGCTGCTTTGTTTCTAGGTCAAGGTAAAATATTCATTTTCACCTTCTGCTTCATTTTACATGGCTTTAAGGATTTCTTAATGGATGCATGAACACATGGAAAACACAAATTAATTATTTTCACTAAAGGGGCAAAGTCTGGTATGATGAAGCAAAAATGGGATTATTAGATTGTGTCTAAGAGCTGCAAAGAAACATTAGAAGGTTTCATGTTTGGAACAATGGTCACCATATACATTATTGTATTAATTTGTGAATATTCTAGCCTTTTTCTGGGTGGTTTAATATAATTTTTCACCACTTACAGATGTCTCGGTTTAGAATTATATTTATGCAAATTTACCAATATTCTTGAGATGCTTTGTTGTTATTATATAACATGGAGAACCTAATGATTTGGATGGTATTCCTGCATAATAATTAACTTCTGATTAATATCATATCTAAATAATGCCCTTGACAGTTTTGTCCAAACTGCTTTTGTAACTGTCATATGATCTACAAAATTCTTCATCCAACTCTTTTATGCAAAGAAAAAATAGTTTTTTCATGTTTTAAATTGTATCCATACGCTTTAGTGATGCTGTTCTTTTCTAATGTATAAGTCATATGAGGGGGGTCAGATCATCAAAATATCGCATTCTGAACAATGCAGTATAGCACTGTTTTTTACCTCCTCGGAGCCATCAATCAACATTGTACATGTTTTTTTGAAAGCATGGCGATGACCAACTGTTAACAGTTTTCATAATAACAACGGAGCTTTCCTGAGAGTAACAAAAGTAGTCATGCTTACCCAAAACCAAGACCTTTCTTAGACCTATACCGAGCTAAGTGAAATGTGCAGACCTAACCAAACCTTGGCCAGAGAATTGTCATATTATATAGGTGACATATCTTGATAGTGTTTCAAAATGGTTTAAAAGGGAACTGACCGGCAAGCCTATCCTGCCTATAGGGGTGTCAGATCAGATAATTCCGCTGAGGTTTGATCTAGACATAGTTACTTTAAACACCAGCAGTCAAGCCAACCTAGATTATAAAGACAATGCATTGCATCCATTCAATCTATTATACCAAAACATCATCATAAGGTTTGGTACAAACTTGAAAATCAAGTCATGGTTACGAACACTGATTTGTTATGACTGATCTTAAATAACATGATACAATCCCATTTCTTTTTAATCATGAGACCAAGATTACAAATAAAACTGGCACGTTAATGAAGATTGCGTGCAGCCCTGCAGCCTCTCTTTGTAACAGCAGCAGGAAAAAGCCTTTGGCTGTGCTTTAAGACGAACTCCTGGATCAGACTGAGCTTTCCTCTCTGCTTTCTGTCCCAGCTCTGAGCTCCAGGTAC